TTTACCCTACAGACTAAAGACGACCCTACTTCTACATTTAATAAAGACAACATGGTTCAGACTGTGGTTGATCTTTTGCTGGGAGGAACAGAAACAACAAGTACCACCCTTCTCTGGGCACTGCTCTATATGGTACAATACCCAGAAATACAAGGTGAGCAAAAGCATTACCAGAGAGAACTGCATTTGACATTGTATTGTCATGCACATATTGACTTGTGTGAGCTCAATCACCTGCAATACATCAAAATAACCTTTAACAATTAATATGAATGCTGGGACATCAACAGTTGAGATCTAGAAAATGGAAGTTTATATAAATGAAATAAACATGCTTTCCCCACCAGCTCACTAAGTAACACTAGCAGAAATTAGTAGTCAGTGGTTTATCTCACTAGAAGAGGATGGCAAAGACAGAATGACAACCTAAAGACACTTCATATGCAACCTTGTCTCTTCCTAACCTTCAAGGTCGAAAGCTTTAAGAAGATACGTGGTCTGATGTACATGTGTAAACATAACAGAAATTATACCTACAATTTCAAATCTTAAGCCTCTTTTGAAACAGAACTGTATTACCTGCATCACCAAACAGGATGTGTCTTAAATGAGGACGATGAGATGAGATGAGATGATCATCTTGTGCTTTAAGAATCAACTTCTTGATCAATTGAAACCAACGTAACAGGCAAACCACATGCCAATACATTTCATAGCAATGTAATGTCTTTTTCCCCCTAGTCCTGGACCATACTCATTCAGAAATCTGCTGGAAAGAGAATTTTAAAATATTTTCATTTCTCTGCAGAAAAAGTTCAAAGAGAGATAGAGTCTGTTCTGGAACCCTCCCATCTCATCAGCTATGAAGACAGGAAGAAACTGCCCTACACAAACGCTGTGATTCACGAGGCTCTTCGGTACAGCAACGTCACTTCTGTTGGGGTCCCTCGACAGTGTGTGAAGAGCACAACTTTGCTGGGTTTTCACATTAAAAAGGTACAGAGTATACCTTCATGTTTCTTAAAGCTTTGAGCTATTACTATTTACGTGGTATTAGCTTCTGCAACTCCTAACTGCATAGAGAGCAGGTGGCAGCATGTCACAGAGGTGAAACAGACTGAGCGCTCAGGAAAAGGGCACAAGTAGCAAAATAAGGCAAATGGAAGTCAAATATGGACGATGTCTCAGCATCAAAGCAGAACATATGGTTTAAGGAATGAATAATTAGGTTTAATTAATGGCAAGCCAGGTAACTTTCACACACATAAGGGAGCAGCCCAGGGCAATCTATAGTCATCCCTGACAAAACATACACACAGACACGAAATACCCACACACTGAGATGATGGCAGCTCAGTACAGTGAGAGACTGGCAAGATATGCATGTCCCAAATATATTAAGCATTAAATTGATGTGGTAGAATTTAGAGATTGATGGAAGAGTACAAAAAAAACCCCAAAAGAACAAAAAAACTCCATAATGGTGTTGTGATTAGTCTGGCAAGTATATAAATCAATCCAAACCTCTACCTTAGACATAAAGAAAATTCAGTGGTCCTGACAGAAGAGAATTTAAACAGAGGGAATCATGTAATACTTTATGGCAAACAGAAGGTACAAGGGTTTGTTATGCCTGGATTAGCACAGGAAATCATCAAATTGAATCCAAACACAAAGCCACAGGCACAGGATGCCATGTTATCTACTAGAGAGAAGGAAAGTCCAAAAAAAGCATCCATCATACATGGAAAACATAACCTCTGCTTCTTCTTGCAGGGCACACTTGTATTGCCAAATCTGCACTCAGTTGTGTATGACTCTGAGCACTGGGCAACCCCTTGGAGGTTCAACCCAAACCATTTCCTGGATTTGGATGGCAACTTTGTGAACAAAGAGGCATTCTTACCATTCTCAGCAGGTAATGCCATGACATTTAACATTTCTGTTTGCTGTGTCTTGCAGCCACACTAAAAACACAATGTCTAAGTTTTAAGATTTTAAAAGACAGGTTTTTTTGAGACAAAGATTTAAAGTCAGGCATTCTACTGTAAGAGTCACAAATCTTGTCTTGCATTTTATATTTTTCACACAGTCAAAGAGAGTATGATTATGGCTAAGAGACATAATACTGTCTCCTTGGTATATGTATGGTTCCTACTATAAGCATACCTAAGCTCCTTAGTCACTAATATATTAAATCCTGTTAACACCCTCAAATCAGAAAATGCATTTATTCTTACCCTGCAAACAGGAGACCCAAAGACAAAAGTAATATGATTTGTCAAAATACAGAGAAAATCTGTGATAAAGCAGGAAACCAAACCTCAGCCTCACAATAATTACAGTAATAGTCCAGCACCAGCTCCTCTTTTATCTCCAGAAAACTACCAGAAACCAGTCTTTTCAGAAGAATATTATTAAGCAACCAAACAGTATCTATCTTTTCAAAAACATAATATAATGTACATCCTTCTACTTCAGAATTGCATCCCACAATGCTCCAGTCCTTGCTCCTCCACAACCAGAGATAAGACTCTGAAGTATATGAAGCCTTTTTTAAAATCTGGGTTAACTAGGAAACAATTCATGATTCTTGCAGCACAAGAAGCAAAAATGGAAAGGGCGAATCTCATACACACTCCAGGAAAAAAACAAAACAACAAAACACCCAAACTGAAACCCAAAAAACCGAAACAGCTGACATAATTAGAGATGTACAGTTTCTCAGTTAATTAAGTGTTTCCCCCCAACCTCCAAAGGCATCTTCTGCAGAAGGAAACAGGAAATCACTATCTTGCAATAACAGAATTCATGGAACTCAGTAGAAATTTTGTTTCGAGTTCTTTTTCATAATTTATCCTGATACAAGTAAGTCTCTTCCCCTTTCTTCTACAGGACACCGTGTATGTTTAGGAGAACACATGGCACGAGTTGAGCTGTTCATCTTCTTTACTAATCTCCTTCGGGCATTCACATTCCAGCTCCCTGAGGGAGTGAAGGAAATCAATCTGGAGTACATTTTGGGTTCAATACTGCAGCCACATCCATATAAACTCTGTGCTATTCCACGCTAGTCTGCAACATACTACAGTGCAGAGAGACTTCAACACTCATCACTATTCTCAATTGTATTCAAATGTAGGTAGCTCAGTATAGCAAATAAAGAGTGGTTTTATTTAGGAGGCCTGACCTCATGTAGATGAACTTTTTGAAATTAAAATAAACATACTTGCTAAAGCTCATATAATTGCATCTTAGGGCATACAGAAGTATCCAACAATATCTTACAAATACCCCTAGTATTTTCACACTCACAGTAGCAATGAATTAGAGGTAGGGTTTTAGAGAAGTGATCTGCATCAAGCAGCTTCCTGCATATGTGCTCAGTCAGGTATCACACTCTTAAAATGGCAAAACTGTTCTCATGCAGCAAGGATGCCTGCATTAAAAAAAAATAAATAAAAAATTCTTCAGTATGCTGTTACTCCTCTGTGTCCACAGGCCTTTTCTTACTACCTTTTGCAAAAGGTAACAAAGTATACACGTACTTTCCACTCTTCTTTCTTTCACACCCCCATACAGCATTATATATTGTAGTCTAAACTCCACACATGCATAAATGATTGTCCATTTAGAATTTTTTTTTTGTTTTAAACATCCTCAGTATGGGATTCTTACTTGATCACAAATCTCTGATCCAGGTGCTTTTAAGACTCTTCGCTTCTTCTGTTTGAAAAGATTACTATACCATCCAATAATTTCCTATTTGAAGGGAATGGAACAGCCTTTCAGGAAATTAAGAAAATAAAAGAAGATGCCAACATTTGTTAAAACTGGCAGAGATTTATTACTTACAGTGTATTCTTTTGTTGTCTCATCATTCTACAACAGATGTGGAAAGTTTTCACAACTTACAATTCAGCTCCAAACATCCTAGATGCTTTCAATTTTCAAAGCTCACCAGGAGGAAGTATAAATTATGGTAGGATGTAGTTAAAAGTAGAAGTAGAATATTACATATTTCCAAGACATAAAACTAACAGAAGACTTGATTCTCCTCTGAGATATTTCCAATTATTCCCTTCCACATGGTGAAAATCCCAGGGCTCTAACACACTGTGAAGTTTGCTACTGCAGAACAAATGCAAACAACATCACTGGCAGCTTTCACTTTTTAAATAAAAGACATGTTTAAATTAAACTTTGAATATTACTTAATTTTTATTGAGGAAAATATAACATCTAAAAATCCTCCTTGAATAAGAAACACTTTCAAACATAAATTAAGGAAAATCTCTTCATCTTTCTTACAGTAAGGGCAGATATTGCATAAAACACATTTTTACAGATTTACAAAAAGCAGTCAGACATCATCGCTCATGAGCAAAAGATTTCAAGTCTTATCTTTTTCCTTTGTGGTGTTCATTAAAGAAAAACTCACCAAAAATATATATATATCTTTCTTTTAACCCACCATGTGTATGCTTTAATAAAGGGCCCATGATAAAAGTGCTCAGCAGCATGACTGGCAGTGTCAGATACAAGCTTGGACTTTCTCTGCTCCAGTGTATTTTGATGTTCTACCTGAAAAAAGACTCCAGTTTCTTTCCTCTTGGTATATACCCTTTTGGTCTCCTGAAGCTACTTTATTTTTTTCCCCAAAATATTATTTTGTTATGCACATAGGTTTTCTTCCAAAATTTTATCTTGTGTTAAAACATGCACATATTCTTCAGCTGTATTTTTTAAGAACTGAGGTACGTTATGATTTGCTGTACAATGCTGGTTCTAAAAAACGGGAAGAACAAATATTCAGATTGTACATGATTAAGGAGGTATTTTTACAAAGAAGTCATTGTAGGCCTGGCAGTTGGTACCAGTAAAAAACAGCTGGGCTAAGAGTATTTTATTTTTATTCCATTTAAAACTGAAAACAGCAAGAGGTGCAGCATTCCTTGGCTTTTTGATGTTTCTTGAAAGGACAGTGTGACAATTCTAGATTACCTCTTCATCACAGTTGTAAATGAAATCTATAAGAAAATGAACAATGCAGAAAAAAAAGGCTATTTCGTAAGTTAACTTTTTTGTCATGTAAGACAAGAAATCCATAAGGCATTTAAATAAATCAGCAACACCTTTGGAACAACTGAAATTAAAAATGTATCACTTACTTCTTGCAGTACTTGTCCAAGTGTCTCCCGGCTGTGAATGCGTTTCCTGTGGAAAACCAAACCCACACTCATTTCTGCACAAAGCATCAATCATATATCCCACTTCAAAAGAAGATTGCTATGCTAGGCTTTGTTCCACATCCTTATGGAATCTTGACACAATTTTATGGACTTTTAATGCAATCTTTTGGAATCTACAAATTCTGATTCAGACCTGTTGTGATTCTCATCAAGAGGAACCATGTGCAATAAGGCTTGCATCAGATTGCAGCTTCTTAAAGACTAACCCTGTTTATTAAAAAGCTTAGTAAAATTTCAGCATAAATCCTATTATCTGGACATAGCTGATGCTTAGCTGTTGTAGTTCCATCTTCTCCAGCACTAAACATCTGTTATTCAGTAACCGATGCAAGAATATTACAAATACTTGGGTTTTTTTACTCATTCTTCCAACATACCCAACTTGGTAAGCAGTGCTTGTGAACATAATAGCAATAAAATACTTCAAAAAATTATTTTCTATAAAAAACAAGGACATGTCACTACAGTTACTGTTTCCAAACATCTCGTAGTGTATGCACTGAAAATACCAGAAATGCAAGTAAAAGACAGTATCTTTTTACCTGTCTATTTTGGTTGCTATAATCAGTGTAAAACTGCCTTCTGTATTGGGCAAGTACGTAGAAGGTATAATTACGTAACTTCCTGCAGGAAGTCTGCAAAGCTGGCTTACTTCTTGTGAATAGCAATGAGGCACACAGCTAACCTGTGGCTCCAAGTGTAGAAAAGAGGAAGTATGTGGCCTCCAGCTGCTGTTAGGCACCTGAAAAAAAAAAACAACCAACAAAAAAAACATGCTTATCTTTTCATATACTTCCAACCTCACAATGTTACCTTTGTGGTACACCACAGTATGGTATGTTCCGTATCTATTCCATTCCAAATACTCACTCTTCTGTACTCTCTGTACAGACCTACATGACAGAGCTACCAAGGTTTCCAGAAAACAGACAGCAGTATCAAGTAGAGATAAGTAATTCCTGCCATGTTTGTAGACTGTTTATACAACCCACTCCTCACATAGCTCAAATATTTTTTTCTATTGACTAACCTCATGCTTCCTTGCTGCAGCCTAATGCCCTTGGTTTTCACCTCATTGGTAGGGTGAATAGACAAGTATTTCTTCCTTCTAGTGGCCTTTCCTGTACTAAAAATTTGTACTAAACTTCTCCTCAGTCACCTATAGGCATGAAAAATGCCATTCTTTCAATTGTTTTTCACATACTGTACATTTGAAGTTATAGGATCACTCCTACTGCTTAATTACACACTCTCCATTTAAGCAATGCCTTTACCGAAGCATGTCTTCTGAAAATACAGCTAGTCTCCCTCCAGAATAGCCAGGTAACCAGAAGCTTCCCATCCTACATTTATGCCGTTGATCCCTGGCACGTACATGTAGAACCTGTATTTATCCATACTAAATCATATCTTGATTTGTTTCAGATCATCTGTTCAACATAACATGATTTCTGAATTCTAATCTTGCTTTCAGATCCAACATCAGTTGCCAGTGGACAAGTGAAAAGTTATTAGAGATGAAGAAACTACATTTTCATGATGAATTACCAAAAAGTCTGGTCCCAAATAACTAAGACCCAGAGAATTCTTCCCAAATCCTCAAAAGCATTCATCATTCCTAGAAGTAATTTAGAACCTTGGAAGGATTCAGTGGAACCAATTATTTGTGACTATGCTACCCAGTGTGTAGTTACTCCACGTCTTTCATAGGACCAGCCTGCATTTCTCCCAGTAGCAGTTTGTCCCTTTCCACACGCAAGGAGCACTGAACTGAGAGGCTTACCCATCACACCAGGCAAATGAGCACTCAAACTGACCAGAGCCTTACCTGGAAAATATGGAAACCTATTGGGCGAGACTTGCTGTCTTGGCAGTGCTGACGGAGGGTAACTTTCACACTACTTTTTCCTGGTCCTGCAGGAATGGAGAGGGGAAAGCAGGGATTGATATGGAAGGAGGGGAAGTTCCTGCTTCCTCCAGCACTTTGTCCATTTTTCCAGCATCCATGTAGCTGCACTGTCTCCCATTCACCTGCTGGGAGTTCTTCACAGAGGGCAGTATCTGTGGGTGGTGGCTTTAGCTCACTATCAAACATGAGAGAAAAGAAACAAAGCATATAAAATCTGCACTATTTCACAAAATCTAGAGCACCAGCTCACAAAAATGAACTAGTATTACATAAACTTACATAAATAAAATGGCTTCAAACTTTCAGCACAAAGTAAAAGAGAACTGTACAACTCTAGGTCCTTCAGGAATTCACAGAAGTCCACAAGAATAACATGGCATATATAAACCATGCAGAAAAAACAGTTTGTTGTTAATGCAGTAGTGCAGCTTACACATTTTGCCTTGATACTCTTGTGCTATTTGCCCTATCTGAAATCAATACAACTGACAGTGCTTCTCGAGAACACATCAGCATCTCTGTAAGTCCAAAGCACACAGTGCATTATCTCTCATATTCACTGTATCTTTAATGAGAGGTAAATAGGTAGATTGCTCTGACTTGATCACCGTAATATTAACCCTTATTTTAATCCTAGCCCAGCACCACTTCTCACAATCAGATCATTTCATAACAGTTGTGCAGCATTTGAAATCATATTTCACCATAACTTGAAACCTATCATCTGTCCTTATTTTGAGTTTTCCAGTTGAGAACCTAAAACAGCTGTTACGCTATTCTGTGACTGTCTGTTCTAGACACACATGCAGGCTGGCACTTTTGTCTCTGAGGAAGTGTTATACTTAACAGCAATACTAGAAATGTTATCCCAAAGTGCAACATGATCTACAGATTAAATATGCCCAGAACCCAAATATATTGCAGGTAAGAAGCACACAACTGGCACCCATACCACAAAATTATCCTCATAGTATTGCAGACTTTTATTTGGTCTAAAATTTTATGCCATCTTGCTTCCAAATTCCACAGAGTAAATGATTAATACATGTTCTGCCTTTGCAGTGTGATTTTCCGGATTCTCTCCAAGGAGATGAGCTGATAGTGTACTACCAGAATACACAAAACATGAACAGCTTTTAAACATGTTGCCAACAGCACATTTTTCACCTGCACTCAGCTGACCTGCTGCAAGCTGTTAGAAGAAGGTACAACTTTGCTGACTCCACACAACTACTCACCATCATGTCTTCTTCAGTATTTATGCCAAGACTATGGTCACCTGCAGACAACTGCTCATAAATAATTGACTCTAAAATTTTGAGATAGCTATGCAGTCTGCTCCAGTTTAAAGTAAGTCATCAGAAGCAACTGGACTGACATTGCTGATATTTCCTACTGGATAAGCAAGCATTTTTATACAGAAAGAAAAGATTGTTCCAAGTCCATTATGAAAATCTATTTTACGTCACAAGTTATGCAGAAAGATCAATTAGAACATGATATGCAGTAATCCTTCCAAGAAAGACTGAGGCCATCACAGGAAGTTCAGCTGATTTGTCAGTGTCAGAATGCTTTAACTCAAAAGCCAGCAGCTTCATGCAAAACACAAGGAGATAGAACATTACTTACATGAATTCAAAGACAAAACAGTGATCTTACTTAGTACTCTGCACAACCCTTCAAAAACACTTTGAACATTTCTATTTAGTGCTATACTTCATATATTTGTTTATGTCAATGACTATAAGAAGTTTTCTGTTTCTATTAAACCTACCTGAGAGAGATCCTTCCTGTTGAAAACACACGAAGCAAGAAATTCCCTACTGCATCTTTCAGAAAAGTGCTGGGAACAACAAGATAAAACCCAGGCGAAAGGTCACAGCACACATGCACTTCTCTATCATAGGAATGGCAGACGGTACCTACAACTGGAGGAGCAGAGAGGGTCTTTGGAAGGTTAAATCGTTTCTTCTCCACCTAGAATAGATGCATAATGATGTGCGGTGTTTTAGGAAAAATGAGGAGGTTTTAAGTAAAACATGATCAAATATTGTTTAAAACATTTTTAAACATGCATACATCCACAGAAGGCAAAAAGTAAGGAGAGTATCAGCAGATAAGCTGAACATCAAAGAGGAGTAGGAAGACTTAATATTCAAGAGGAGTAAATTTAGAAATAGTCATCAACTAAGCCAGACTAGCATGTAGCATTTTAGGCTGAACAGTCTCAAAAAGTTCTGCTACTTGGCACTCAATGATACAAAGAACAGACTAGTCCACTAATGGTCCATACAGACAGGAACTGCACTGTGAGATAAATGGGATCATTCCAATGTAAAGCAGAGGTGTAAAACATGAACAGCTGAATCACACCACTGCTGTAGGAAATTCATGATTCTACTCAGATGTATCAGTAATGCTTTAAAACGTCTATTTGCAAAAAGAAAAATGTCACTCCCAAAATTACCTTCCAGACATGCAGTCCCACAGCCTGGTAATTCTTCCCCTGTATGCCTTCAGTCAAAGACAGGTTTTCCTCTGCTAAGTGAGTCAGATTTTTAATTCTTCCAGCCCAGTCAGCAGGGTACTTGCTGTGTTTCTGCAGCAGAGCAATGCACACCTCACTCTTCTCACAGACTCTCAGCCAGAACTTTGGGTTGGTGGGGAAGCTGCTGTTGTTACAGCAGCTGCCTGCAGACTGGCCTCTCACCCAGGATCCAAAAAGATTCTGCGAGTGACACAGCACGTTCTCTAACAAAGTGAGAAAAACATGGTGTGGATTTCAAACACCAGACACTACTTAATTTTACATATCAGATAGATGGCAAATCACCCAGCCCAAGAAAACATGCTGTCCTAGCCCTGACACTTCCTCCAAGCAGATATTCATGACCAACATTCTAAGAGGTATGAGAATGGAATGTCACAACTAGTAACAGCAGACTGACCACATGATTTTTACAATAAGAAAATGTTCCTAGAAATTTGAAGTCTACCTCCCATACAAAAAAGAATTAATCACAAGGTTGTCAAGAACAGCAGCCTTCTAAGTAGAGGACACTCATCTCTCAACCAACTAGCAAGTAACCAGATCTCAGAGAAATATCAGATTCCTCTAAAGAACTTCAATTTCCTCTTGTCCCTCCACTCTTCCTAGTAAAGAAAGAAATGGCCTATGGGTCTAAAGAAGAGGGAAAGACTAAGAAAGAGAGTTATGGCCTGTTGCATTCATTTAAAATTCAAATCAGTCTCTCTCATTGGCATAATTTTTCTTTTCTCATACCACACCTGTATAGAGGCTCTGAAGTTGTCCTTCCTCATTGACTGGAAAACCCACAGTAATTTCATCAAATTCCCTGAAAAATTCTTCTTCATCAACCCAGAATTCTCCCTCTTGGATCTGTGAAAGCAGTTTTGAGGTGAGTACTGGATCCAGCTGGCTCCATCCTTGACCGCTGCACAGCAGACAAAAGTTAACATTTAGTTCTTTGCCCAACAAAGCTCCATAACAATGTTCTATCAAATATCCTATGGAGCAGGACAATAAGAGATTTCTTAATTTTACTGTCAAACACTTGCATTGAATACTTCTGTATACTTTGCTACTCAGTGAGAGGAACAATAGAAAGTATGAATCATAACATCCAAACAAAAATTTAGAAACAACCTAGCACCAGAAAGGATACAGTAGCAGAGACTTTTAGGTTAAATAGCTACTTTTCTTACAGCAGACAGCACAGTCCAAGGTGTGAAAGCAAAATAACAATTTTAACAGTTGTTAAAAATAGTGATGAAAAAGCAAAGCTGCACAGTGACTGCTCTGAAAGAATTCAATGCTGTACAATGAACATCAAACCCCACTGTCTGTATGAAGCAGCTGGTTCTCCCCACGAATCTGCTGGCTAAGGCAGAACAAACCAAGAGTTTAAACACTTCATTATTTAGGGCCCATTAAAAGATAGCAGTTTCAACATTTTTGATTGTTTCACTAACAACAAAGAACAGTTCTGCAGTTGAATACACCAGGCTCTAAGGCCACTCAGTGAAATGCATCTCCTGCATCTACCTGGCAACTTATCGTTTGGCAAAGAAACTACAAGAAACCAAGTGTACAAACAAAACTCTACCAAAAGCAAAAAGAAACATCAACTGAAGTCTCAATGAACGTGACCGAGTTATTTTTTTAACTCAGGGAAAAAAACCTATTTATCTAAAATGTTTATTAAACATGATCATATTGTTACCATATTTTTAAACTGAAAGCTTGGTCCTTGGGTCAAGAATTGCATGTTCTTTTGTACAGTCTAAATATGTTACAACTTTTCAAAACAAGTGAGGACGGTCTGCCCTTTCATCCTTGCTGCTTTGCTGTAACAATTGCTACACATATTTCTGCATTTCCCTTAAAACAGATCTTTTTATACCTACTTTATTTCTACTCACCTTTATATTTACTCATTTCCAGCTTCTCCTATTCACATTAATCTACAAAAATGAGAATACACAAGAAAAAAAAGGCTTCTTCCTTTTGCTATATTTTTATATGTAAGCCTTGTCTTCTGCAACTGAGACAAGATCAAATGAGAAGAGCTGAGCAACTACTTACAAGCCACAAATATCTTACGAGCAAAATGTCTTAAGAACAAAGGTACTTAGATAAACTGCAGAACAAAAAAGCAAAAATCAGAGACAGAAAATAAATCCGCATCTTAACTTTGTCTCTACTAAAACATATGATGTTTTGACAAACAAAAAATGTTATTAAAAATTTTGATTACCAGAACTAAAAGATCAAAATGATGAGGCTTTAGAACCAATGAGCTGAGTGACCTACTGAACCCTCCCCGTAGGGCTGCCCACAAACTGAAGATTCCCTCCCCCACTGTACCTATTAGCAAGATTTGCCCACACAATGCACAGATATATTTTGTGTGTTAGGACTCTCACAAATGATTTTTCAAATTACAATAAACCTACTCACCCCTCACACCAGGGTCCTTTCCAGCACCGCCTCCCCCAAGGATTTCGTATCCGTAGTAGGAAGATTTCCTTGCCTGACACTTCAGACAGGTTCAACATGTCTATCACAATAAAGGCATGAAATTCTCCTAGTTCACTTGCACCTGAATAGAAAAGTAAAAAATAGCATTTGAAAGTAAACAGAAGAAGCTGCTCCATGTTCTACAATGAATGACATTAAACCATCCTGTGAAAGAAAGCAATTTTGAGGCAAAAGGAAATTATTTTTAAATCACTACAAGTGAAGTCTGTAACATCCTTAAATCTTCTTTCACCCAAGGTTATATAAAATTGCACCACAAAACTTGCATGTTACTAGAATCAGCAGTGTGCATGTGCTGGCTGCCTGGTGCTCTGAACACTGCTAAATTGATATGTTTACCTTAAAAAGTCTAGAACTTTACTATTACCTTGTCTGGAATCGAGGACTGAGCAGCTTATTACACACTGTTCCTTCAGATTCATTAATCTCCTGAACAGTGCTTTCTCCAAAACCATGCCAGTCTGCCCTTTTTCCATGTTTCTCCCAGGGCACTTCAGGGTCCATCTTTCAGCAATTCCTCCAGTCAGATCAACCAAAGCATCTGCCACCTGTCCTGCCCACAAATGTTCATAAGAACCATGTACTCTATAAAAAAAAACACAATCAAAAACCAAACCAATAAGAAATTTCCATAAACAGCAGTACTAAAGAAATGTGGTATTTACATACTTTCAACCCCACCCTATATCATAGTCATGACTGTACCCTACCTCATACACCCACATAGACAAGGGAAAGTAAGTAATATTTTATTTCTAAAGAACACAACATCTAATGAACACATAATAGCCATCAAACATTCCATTGTTTGATGGGAAGTTTATTACAATTTATTTCATCCTATATAGAAACAGCTCTAGTCTAGTACCAATCTCTTGCACTGCATCACCTTTCATGATGTACTAAATGCATTTTGTATAAATAAGTAACATTTCTTTCTCTTCTTCAATTATTCTTTGTTCACTCTGCACAAATAACCAGAGTAGCACTTCCCTCAACAGCGTCAGTAAATCAAGCTACTGCTCTACCTGATGTAGCAGATGCAAAGGAAAAAGCAAAAGAAATCAAGACTATAATAGAATGATAAGACAAGATAGAGCAGTAAGACTCTACAGAAAACAAATCTTACCTTTCAAACCTACAGAGAAGCTTTAACATGTCATTGCTGCTTCACAACTTCTGCTCCAAGTACAGATAGTTGAACAAATTACTTCATACTTGAAGTCTTTTTCTGCCCTCTGCTGGCAACCACACAATCTTTTGGCCCATTTCTTTTAGACACTTATTTACCTTACCAGTGCAGCTGTCTCCTAATTTTTTTAGTCCAGCTGGACAGCATTTTGATGGATGTGTAATAAAACATAAAATAGCTGCACCTTCAAACATACTAACAATATGGTTGTTTCTTCTTAAAATAATGAACTATCAAATGAAGCAAGAGAGCAGGGAAACTTACATAACCAGAGCCTCAACTAGTACAAACTTGTGTAATATGGTTGCTTCTCACGATATTTGCATAATCCTTGCTTTTCACTGAGCCCTCAGCTGCTCCAATAAAATACTTCCCTTCAATAAATTAGATGAACAATGGATAGTGACTTAATGAACATTATTTCAATCCTGATAATTCACTGCAGCTCTTACTTTTCATTATAAATCTGCCTGTGAGACTATCTTACATCATATGCAAGTAGAAACACACCTTACAGGCCTACAGTTAAAAGAGTGACCTCATCACAGCCCAGTACAGCAAAGCTGGCAGCCATTGAACAGCATTGTATTGATGTATTGAACAGCACACAGATCTATGCCCAAAGCCACCAGATAAAAATAAGCAGAAGATATACAGGTACCTCCCTTTACTTTCCCCCCAGTAACAGTGTTCACATACTTTGCATAAGCTTTTTCCAGTAGGGGAAGCCAAAACAAATCCTCTGTCTGACACTGGGAGAAGCAGAGTTTACCCCCGAGGCACGGCAAGCGATCATCGATGGTCACTTCCACCCAATGTCCAAACTGCCAGACCCGACAGGTGAAACAGCCTTGGTACGACTCATCTGCCCAGCTAGGCTGACCTGGAGGGATTACCTGGATGGCAAAGCCAAAATCAAGACAAATAATAATTTTTGTACCTTTTTTTTTTTCTTAAAAACAAAGACAGTTTAAAATATGCTGTCAGCCATTTGTAATAACCACAGAAAAAAGTATCACAACGAAGCCAGTAAAACTAAATATAAAAAAACTGTTCTTCAGTTCTGAGGCCTGGGATTCAAGAACAATGTAAAAGTGTAACTTAGGTGAAGAAAACTTCTGAAACATGAAACAAGAAACTTCTCTTTTACCTTATTCAGTAGGTATTTACTCTTCTGCAAAGCTACACAGGCACACAGGAACCAACAGTCTCCCAAAATCCCTTGTTTCACTTGCACATCCTGTGGATTGTTTGAAAATAACCGAGGAGTAGAACAAATGTCCTAAAATTAAAAGAAGCAGAGTTCAAGACAAATCTTGTGTAAAATCCTGTGAAGTCTGTGCTTCAGGGAACATGAGGGCTCCAGAGACCTCTTACAAAACAAAGGAATTTTTACCTCCAGAACATTTCCGTTTCAGACACAGCCTAAGCAATAATTATCATGCAAACAATGACAAATTACTGCCTTGTGGCTATCTTACAGATACTTTATGTGAGGTAAATCTAGTTCCCACATGAATTTTAGTACACACGTCACCAGCAGGTGCAACCTCAGCAGAGGCACCATTAAGTGAAAGGCTGCATCATTCATCATCTTCCTAGATGTATCATCAGCTGTGACAGAACTGATGCCGTTCACACGGAATGGCACACCTCAAGTTGCAAAAATCCCCAAATTAGCAAAAGAGAAAAACCTTTCCTAGGGCAAATAAAAATAGATTCCTTAGCAGCAAAAGAGGTAATTTCAAACACAAAGTCCTGAGCACTTAATTGGATCTGAAGGTGACTTTTAAAAATGGTTCTTCTCTCACCTGTAAACACTGCAAGAGGTGGAAACTAACTGATCACCCCTCACAAGCAATCAAGGTACAAAAGCAGAATTGCACGCTGGGTTCTGTAAAGTCAATTTGTTTGCCAGTTCTCTCTGATGACCAGCAGCTCTATCACTGTTCTGCACCTGTCCTGGGAGGCAGGGCAGAAAAACCGATACCACTACAGGTGACACACTTTTTTTTTTCCTCAATCACAATTTTATAGCCTTTTCTTCCCCTCCACACAAAGGCAGTATCATAAATACTTTACTTTAAATTAATGTACTGCAGAAATGCATTTTAAGCTTTCCAGCTCTTATATGACTTGCTCTGAAACCCAGCTGTAAGTTTAAAAGCAATACAAGTCATATGACGAGTTATAACATTAAAAATGTTTTGACAGCAGAATGAAAATGAGGGGGCAAAATAATCAATACCCTTCTGAAAAACTCCAAAATCCAAGTGTTTTTTTCTTTTCAAGTGATTTATGCAATATATAGAAAAACTTGGGAATGACATAACGCTTTAACTTGGTATGCACATTACTTGCATAAGGAAATGTATTTACTATAAATGCCTATTTCTATAGTTCCATTAAATTTGAGAGCTCTACAAGATTTAAATCAAACCTACAAACAAGCACTCAAGAGTTAAAAAGTGCAACTCACATATTGTTAATAACGACATGCATTAGTTTTACCAGTTCTACATTTCTAAATAAAACCACCCAGAGGCAGTCATTCAATGATAATTACCACTTAACTACCTCAAAGTCCAGTTCTGCTAAAATCAGTCTTTTATACCTTCAAACTTACCGTAGGTCTCAACCAAGATATCTCGCCTCTGAATTGGGCAAGCGGGGTACAATAATTAAAAAATATAGAGGCATCATTGGCTGGAAACGTGGGGTCTGTGTAAAGGTCCCGTTTCACAATTAATTGCTTTTTCTCTCCCAGCATTTTCAACACAATCATAAGTAGCTTTGCCGGCTATTTCCACGCCTTTATATTGCCAAGCACCAACCTACAATACAAGCGAGCATTACTCGGGAATTGTAACTGAGGAACAAAGAAACAAGGCAGATTTATTTAGGTACCGAAAGCCTCTCTCTCTTTCCACGGGGCACCCTGAACCACGCCGTTACTCTTTCAGCATCAGATCCCACCCAGAAGTCGGATGAGATCAGAACCCAGAGGTTTCCCGCTCTGCTGGAACAGAGAACGGGGGGGTCTCAAGAGGAGACCGACACCCAGGAGCCAAACCCCCCCTAGAACGACCCTTTTCCAGTCCCGCCCCCACCAGGCCCCCGCACCAACGCCC